GAATCCCCCAGTGAGGGGCTGGGGTGTGGCTCAGTGGTAGAGCTCCTGCCTAGAATCCCCCAGTGAGGGGCTGGGGTGTGGCTCAGTGGTAGAGCACTACCTAGAATCCCCCAGTGAGGGTGTGGCTCAGCAATAAAGTCCTTGCCTAGCATATGAAAGTCCCTGGATTCCTTTACTAGCATGTGCACACACACACACACACACACACACAGATAAAATCCTTGCTCTCATGGGGAGAACACTCCAAGAGAAATAAAATATAGGATGGTAATTACCGCTGGAGGAACAGCTCAGTGCCGGACCTCTTGTCTGTTATTTCAAAAACTAATAAATAATAATAAATCAGATTAAGTAAAAAATGTGATGTAAGATGTTAATATGCTAATAATTAGTAAGAAAAAACAGAACCAGAAACAACAACAGGAAATATGTGTGGGAAGGGCTATGACATTTCATGCATGCTGGTCCGCAAGGCTACCCTAAGAAGCAGGAGCGGGGATGTGACATTTCATGCATGCTGGTCCGCAAGGCTACCCTAAGAAGCAGGAGCAGGGATGTGACAGGTCCCACTCTGCAGGAAAAAAAGAGCGAGGGCAGGGGGCAATGACCTGGGAGGTGAGTGAGCAGCTTTCCCCGAGAGGACAGTGGGTGTCCTGGGAGTCTACTAATGGGGGTGATGGGAGGGCAGGCCAGATGAGCCAGAGACAGACAGACAGACCCAGGGTCGGAGCAGACAGAAAGATGACAACAGGCACCGAATGCGGGGAGACATATTTTGGAAGAGAGACAAGCAGGGTTGGGGAAGGGGCAAGAGAAAGAAAGATGACAGAGGGTGGCGGGCAAAAAGCAGGCTTGCACAATGGCTGGTGAGTCACTCCTCTCTATGGGCCTCAGTTTCCCATTCTGGGGGAGGTTTTGTGTTGCCCGGATAAACCCCAGGACCTTGCAATATTCTACCATTGAGTATAGCTCAACCTCTGATGGCCTTTAATAAAGTTCCCCCTTTTTGGACACTTGAGGTCTTGGGCTAGAGGGAGTTAGAGATAATAAGACAGAGGTGAACATCAGAACTTCAGAGAGGGCTGAAGTGTGGGGTCCGGTTTCACAGACCAGTAGTCCTAGCTACTCAAGAGGCTGAGGCAGTGAGACTGCAAGTTCAAGGCCAGCCTGGGCAACTCATTGAGATGCTGTCTCAAAATAATAAGTAAAAAGAGCACTGGGGGAATGTCTAGAAGTTGAGGGGTGTGATAAAAATACATTGTATACCTATATGAAATTCTTAAAGACTAGATACATTAATTAAAAAAAATAAAAGAGGGTTGGGGATATAGCTCAGAGTGCTTGTCTAGCAAGCGTAAGACTCTGATTCAAAACACACTATGGCAAAAAAAAAAGTGTGTGTGTGTGTGTGTGTGTGTGTGTGTGTGTGTATAAGAGAGAGAGAGAGAGAGAGAGAGAGAGAGAGAGAGAGAGAGAGATTGATTCAGAGGGAATGAGAGGCCTATCCAACATCTAACCTCAAATTTCCCTGAAAGGCAAACTGCAGGCTAGACCCAGAAATTCATTGACTGACTGCCCAAAAAGTGACTGAGCAACTAATCTGAGTTAGAAAATGCGGAAATAGCCGGGCTGCGGTGGCACATGCCTTTAATTCCAGTACTCAGGAGGCAGAGCCAGGCAGAGCTCTGTGAGTTCGAGGCCAGCATGGTCTACAGAGATCCAGGACAGGCACCAAAAAACTACACAAAGAAACCCTGTCTCGAAAAACCAAAAAAGGAAAGAAAGAAAGAGAGAGAGAGAGAGAGAGAGAGAGAGAGAGAGAGAGAAAGAAAGAAAGAAAGAAAGAAAGAAAGAAAGAAAGAAAGAAAGAAAGAAAGAAAGAAAGAAAGAAAGCAGAAATAGGCCAGGTGTGGTAGCACATGACTTGAATCTCAGCACTAGGGAGGCAGAGGTAGGCTGAGCTTTGTGAGTTGGAGGCCAGCCTGGTGTACATATTGAGTTCTAGGCAAGCCAGGACTACATAGTGAGACCCCCATCTCCAAAATAATAATGATGATGATGATTAAACACATAAATAAATAGAAAAAAGAAAGAAATGCCCTAACCCAAGAATATGTTTTGGCAAGAAAATATAGATACCCAGACAAAGATAGAGATATGGAAGCAGAGGGGATTATTGCCTGGGGAAAGACAGTCAGCATCCACAGGTGCAGGGTCATCACCAGGATCCCCAGCATCATCCCAGCTGGAACCAGTGGAAGGGCTGGCTCATGGTGTGAAGTGTGGACCACAAAGGCAGTTCCCAGAATACAAGCACAGAGAGACAAGAGAGGTGGGGTGGGGGGTCCAGGGGTGCATGGATCCCCTTGTCCTTCCTCTAACCTTGGTAGATGTCCTGGAGAGAACCAGCCCCACAGAATTCCATGCAGATCCAGAGCTTCTGCAGCCTACAGGGGGTCAGGAGATCAGGGATGGCAATGGTACTCACACCTTGTCAGTGGTCTCTAGAAGAGGCTGATGAGGGCTCAAGGCCATCTGATTCCCCTACCCACCAGAGCGTCCCCTTTCCCACAACGCAGGAGGTTGAGGATGGGCCAGGAAATGCGCACGCTAGAACAATCTGCCTAGAACTTAGGTCTTTGGGTTCCAACCGCATGGCACACCTCTGCCACCCCAGCCTGACTTAGGGGACAGGGCAGAGAGCTCATGGAGAAGCAGACAGGACAAAGAGGTCCAGAGTGCAAGGTTGAGGAACTGATGTCATCAATGGGGCAGCTGATACATTATCTTGGGGGCCAAAGAATTTGGGGTTCATATTAAGGAAGCAGGGTGAAATGGGGGATGCAGGGAGCAGACTGGTATTTGTTAGTCTCTAGGGGATACTCAGTAAGAAAGGCAGAATTTTAGATTAGGAATCAGGCTGGGATGCTCCAGTTAAAAGTGGGGTGCTCAGGTTGGAGGTCAAGTTAGGGTATCTGGGTCACCTAGGACCTGGTTAGTGATGCCTGGTCAGAGATAAGAGGCTGGGGTTGGGGGATGGGCTAAGACATCACCAGAGGTAACTGCCATGGTAAGCCACGATGTTGGCATGCCGGCAAGTTTTCAACATGAGAATCTCCTTCTGAAGGGTGGAGACATCATCATCTATGAGGAAGGGCAGGAGAGAGAAGGTGGCTAGGAGCGGTGGCTTAAGGATGTGGATTCCCCATCCTAAGAAGTAAGGGTAGGGGTGGGGAAGGACTTCCTGGGGACCCTCTCACCAGGCTCCATCTTCACCATCTTCAAAGCCACCAGGTCCTTAGACACCTTGTCACGAGCCTTGTAAAGGGGAAGTTGGCCATCAGGCAGGCTCCATAGCTTGCCACCCTCAGCATCTCTGGGCCAAGCCCAGGGCCCGGCTTCCTCTGGCACTGCTGGTGGCCGTCCTCACCCCAGCTCTCCCGGGTTTGACAATGGAGGAGGCAGAAAGACTTTCTCACCTTGAAGACTTCTCCATAGGTTCCACCACCCAGGCGCTGCAGTAGATCATAGTGTTCCCGGGGGTCCTTATTAAAGATGTCGGGGTCTACAAGGGCCATCCCTGGAGGCCGGGGCTGGGCCGGTGCCCAGGGGGCCAGCAGGGCCTCAGGGCTCGAGCTTTGGTATTACCCTCCGTCTCCACAGGTCCTGGGCCCGCCTTGACTCTGCGGGCTGTGGCCTTCCCCCTCCCCACTCTCGCTTCCTGCCCCAGCTGCGAGGCTGTGCAGAGGGCTCCACCCCTGTCCCCAGGGTTCTGAGAGCTTGACTGCCACGGGACTCATGGGACTCCCCTTTGCCCCCAGAAGGGCAATATGTAAATAAGATGCAAAAGATCTTAATTGCATCCTGGGGCTGACCTAGGACCCTCTTCCCAACTCTACTACTCTGGGAGGAGTCACAAGTTACATTTGAACCCCTGCTAGGTACTTGAAGACTTGGAGTCAAGCCAGAGGTGTGCACAAAGCTGGCTAAGTAGCACACAGGCCCGTCCACTCGTGACACATACGTGTCACCTAAGTGACAGCCCCAGCATGCCTGGGACGGTGTTTGCGAGGTGCACACGTCCGGGTTCCCGTGTGTACCAATGTGAATGCGCTCTGAGCACCTGCCCACAAGGCACATGCCTGTGCATCGCGCCTAAAGTGTATGGCATCTGTGGCAGACATGGAGCGCTTGTTAGTAGCCCCTATCCGGAGCCCGGTGGGGACTCCAGCATGTCACGGCAATCGCACCAGGTGCAGGAGCCATTCGCCTCTCCAGCCTCCCGGAAGAGCACGGTGGCATCACAGACCAGGGACTTAATAGTGAGGAAACTGGATGCTGTTTCAGGGACAAGAAGGGCTCCAGAGAGCACCTCGCACCCGACTGAACGCAAAGAGAAGACGGCTGTAACGCTTTGCGCGGTTATTCGCGTTTACGGCTACGCATGCGTCCAGAGAACTCCGTGGCCTTCCGTGACTGTCTCCGGAGCACGCACGTCCGGAACTTCAGCACAAGGTTTGTGCGGCCCGGGAAAAGCCTAGCCCCGCCTTCCGGCGCCTGCGTAGTAAGGCAGACTAAACCTTTTCTCACGCCGTTGGTTCCATTCAAGTGGGAGCAATGCGCACGCAAAAAATGACGCCTGCTGGGAAGAAATCACGTGGTAGCCGGAAAGACGAGGCGGCTGCCGGAAGCTCCTTTCCCCTCGCCCTCCCTGAAGGCGCTGGAGAGAGGGCGTGATGTAGTTTCCGCTTCCGGTCCCTCTTTTCCGGCCCTCCGGTACTGCACGCTGGGCTGGTGTTCGACTCCAGCTGGGGCTGCAGAAGGCAACAGTGATCATGGCGATGTTTGAGCAGATGAGAGCGAACGTGGGCAAGTTGCTCAAGGGTATCGACAGGTCTGAGCTCGGCTGGAGGGTGCGCTCTGGCCAAGCGGGGTGGAGAAGACAGGGAGCCAGCCAGGGGTGGCCAGGGCTCCACGCTCAGCCAGAGGTGGAGTTCTCCAAGTTTCCCTCCGTCCCTCAACTTTCCTTTACTGCCGCCACAGACTCTCAGTGTCTCTTAGTCTCTCTCTTCTTGCCAGCCATCAAACGTAAGGTTCACTGATGCCTACTCGGCTAGTGGGAACCGGAGGTGATGGAGACAGCCACGGGTCCTGCTTTCCTGCTCGACGTAGGTTCCCATTCCAGTCGAGCGACGACCCCTTTCAACAGATAGTGACAGCAAGGAGCGATCAGGGCCAGGCCAGGGCAAGTCGTGTGTTATTGACCAGGCAGGAGAGAATAGAACTGGGTCAGAAGCGGATCCAAGAGGATGTCAGTAGATGTTCAGCCACATATACAGGATGCGGAGACTGGCCGAGGTTGGAGGCATCCTAAACGACCCAGGGCTCCAACCGGGCTAGCCAGAAGTCTGAGTTGTGAGCAGGATTTACTGAAGAATGTACAGTTGGTCAGTTCTCTGGGTAGATCCAGTGGATGGGACTAGCTTTATTATTTAAAATCGAATGAATGTAGGTTTATTAAAAGGATAATAAAGGGAGGAATACCCCAGGGCCAAATTGAAAGCTATAGGAAAGAAGAGGGTGATTTCCGGTTAACAAATTACAATGGTAGCCCCTTAGCTCTATAGTGGGACTGGCCTCTGTTTTGTCTTCTCTGTTTACCCATGTCTGTCTGTCTTGTTATCTCCCTCTTTCCTTTTGAGACAGGTCTTTACCATACATCCCAGACTAACCTCACACTTGGCAATCCTCCTGTCCTGCCTCAGCCCCCTGGGTGCTGGGATGAAAGGCATGTACCACCATGCCAGGCGGTTCACCCATCATGATTCTCTTCCAGGTACAATCCTGAGAACTTGGCGACCCTGGAACGCTATGTGGAGACACAGGCCAAGGAGAATGCCTATGATCTGGAGGCCAACCTGGCTGTCCTGAAGTTGTGAGTGTCTGTTCCTCCCCACCCTCATGCCAGCAGCTGCTAGCAGGATGCCACTTTGGATAGGGAACTGGGTGCACACGTGCCCCGGGCAAGCTGCAGGATGTGGCTTCTCTTTGGTGTGTAAGCTAGGAAGCCAAGGAGGTCAGGGCAGGGGTTTTTTGTTGTTGTTTTTGTTTTTAATTAGCTACAAAACATACAAGATTATCTCTGTAAACAATTCTGTTGCCTGACAAATTACTGTAAATGGACATCCATGTTGCTAGTGCCACTGGCCCTTCACCACATGCATTGCCCCGCCAAACCCCACCTTATGTAACTACTGTGGAGCTTCAGGTGCCTGCATCTGGATCAGCTGCTTGCACACCAGCTTTCCTGCATCTAGATCAGCTGCTTGCACACCTGCTTTCCTACATCTGGATCAGCTGCTTGCACACCTGCTTTCCTACATCTGGATCAGCAGCTTGCACACCTGCTTCCATCCAAATCAGCTTAGCTCAAATCTGCTTGCTTTGAGCTCAGCTGTAATCACATAGCACAGCTCTTCTGTTCCTAAGCGTCTTCCTCTCAGCACTGGGTTAGTGGCCTTTTTTCTTCTTCCATTTTTATGTGTGTGCATATGTATGTATGTGCATGTTTGTGGGAGGAATGTGTGTGTGCACATGCATGTGGAAGCCCGAAGTTGGTGTCGGGAGTCATCTTCAGTCGCTATTTATTTTTGTTTTTTTCGAGACAGGGTTTCTCTGTGTAGCTTTGGAGCCTGTCCTGGAACTCACTCTGTAGACCAGGCTGGCCTTGAACTCACAGAGATCTGCCTGTCTCTGCCTCCCGAGTGCTGGATTAAAGGCGTGCGCCACCACCGCCCGGCTTTTGTTTTATTCTTTTTAACTCGTTGTGTTCATGAGTGTGAGTGGCAGGGCTAGTGTGGAAGACGACTGTGAGCAGTCAGTTCTTGCTTTCCATCCTTTTTGTTTGGTTGGGGTTTTTTTTGAGACAGGGTCTTTACATATTCCTGGCTGTCCTGGCCTCAAAATCACAGAGATCCGCCTGCCTCTGCCTCCTGAGTACTGGGATTAAAGGCGTGCACTACCGTGCCCATCACTTTCCATCTCTTTGAGTTTCTGCTTTTGAGGCTAACTAGTCTACACACTTCTCGAAGACTGTTTCTTATCTGACTGTAGGAGTGCTGGGATTACAAATAGACCCACCATATACAAGGGCTATCATTTTATCCATTTGTATAAATATAGCCCAGGTTGGGCTCAAATTTGCCATCTACCTGGGTCCTGAGATTGATGGCATATGCCACTACAGCCAGCTTTGCAAGATGGCACCACTGCTACATCTCTTGTTCTCCTTCTCAGGTACCAGTTCAACCCAGCCTTCTTTCAGACCACAGTCACTGCCCAGATTCTGCTGAAAGCCCTCACCAACCTGCCCCACACCGACTTCACTCTGTGCAAGTGTATGATCGACCAGGCACATGTATCCTTCCAGCAGCATGGGAGAAGGCTGGGAAGCAGGGCAGAGGAAGGGATCTGGGCGTGCCTCCAAAAACCAGGTGGCCGCTCTGGGATCAGCTCAATGCTGGGTCAGCCTCGGCTGCTGTGTGGTCCCTCCATATGTGTGTCTCACGTATGGAGGTCCGAGGACACTCGGGGTAGTCAGTTCTCCCCTTTTCCTGGGGGTTCCGAGGATTTGAGCGGATGCCGTGTGGTATTCACGTGTCTCAGAGTGCTGTGGAGGCCCAAGGACGACTTGGGGTAGTCTACTGTGGGTTCCGGGGATCTGGGTCATTAGGCTTATGCCAAGCATTTTTACCTGCTGAACCATCTTGCTGGCTCAGAATTTTTAATTTATTTTTGTTCGTGTATTTATTTTGAGTAAGGGTCTTGCTATAGGATCCTAGCTGGCCTGGAACTTGCTGTGTAGGCCAGTCTGTGCTTGAACTCACAGAGATCCACTGTCTCTGTCTCAAGTGGCGGGTATTTTTTGAGATGTTGAGAGTGGAAGTAGATGAGTGGAGAGGGGTGACCTAGACCCACACCATAGCCTCCACGGGTTCCTGCACTGTTTCCTTAATGCTTCCTGACGCCAGCAAGAAGAGCGGCCCATCCGACAGATCTTGTACCTTGGGGACCTGCTGGAGACCTGTCACTTTCAAGCCTTCTGGGTAATGTCCTTTGGATGTTGGAGTGATTGCCTTGAATGTGGGAAGCTCTGGGTGCCGTCCCCACTCAGTACTTCATAAAACCAGCACATCTGTAATTCTAGAAGGTGGGAGCAGGAGGGTCATCCCCAGCTGTATGGAGAGCTGGAGACCAGCCGGAGCTATATGAGAACCTGTCTCAAACACACAAATGAAGTGGTACCTGCTTGGTCATGGGCTCTGTCCTTTGTCTCTGTCTTCACATAGAGCCAGGACTGGCACGTCAGCCCTTGTGCCCACATGACTCAGACCGACCCTGTCTCCTGTCCTGCGCCTTGAGATGGAAACAAGCCCTCTGCTCATCCACTCTGAGGGCTTTGCCTGTCCAGCCTTCATTATGGGCAGCTGCCCGGGGAGGCTAAGCTGGGCAGATGGCCCTTGCCTGAGGTACCAGTTCTTAGGAGGCTGAGGATAGAGTTCCAGGCCAGGGGCTGGAGAGATGGCTCTGCAGTTAGGCTCTGCCTCACAACCATCCATAACTCCGGCTACAGGGAATCCAGCATGCTCTTCTGGCCTTGGTGGTCACTGGCCATGCACATGGTACACAGACATACATGTAGGCCAAACACCCATACACATAACAATGTAAGTTTTTTAGTTAAAAAAAGGAAGGTATTGTTGCAAAGGACCAGAATTTGGTTCCCAATACCCTGGTTGGGCAACCACCCACAGGTGCTCATGTTCACATAGATGCACCCATATACACATAAATAAAAATAAAATGTTACCTTCTGAAATCTTTAGGAAAAGTTGGGCTCAGCTTTTGCTACATAGCAAGACTATTTAAAACACAATGGCAAAAAAGCAGGGGGGAGAGGAAGTAGCAAGGTGGCCATGGTGCAGCCTTTAATCCAGCACTCGGGAGGCAGAGGCAGGCGGATCTCTGTGAGTTCGAGGCCAGCCTGGGCTACAGAGTGAGTTCCAGAACAGGCTCCAAAGCAACACTGAGAAACCCTCAAAAAACAAACAAAAGAAAGAAGAGGGCATCTTCTGTGCCCAGGCTAGCCAAACCTGCTATGTAGCTGAGGCTGGCCTTGAACTTCTGATCCTCTTGCTTCAATCCCAGTGCTAGAATTACAGGCATTGCCATCATACCCAGTGGTAGGTTCACTTACTGGTTGGATTTTGAGAAAGTTACCATTGTAACCTAGACTGACCTGGAACTTGAGATCCCCCTGCCTCAGCCACCAGAACGTCAGCACCCTTACTGATGAATGCCACAGTAGTGAGTACTGCTGGTGTTAATGCTGTGGGCCTTGTTCCTTCTGCAGCAAGCCCTGGATGAAAACCTGGACCTCCTGGAAGGCATAACTGGCTTTGAAGACTCTGTCCGAAAGTGTGAGTCCTCTTAAGTCTGGGTACCCACGGGACTAGGGGACAGTGGTAGCAGAGTCCTAAGAAATGGCCTCTTGTCACTGTCCTAGAGGGCCTGGGAGAATGGAACCAATGAATGAGGTGGACTAAAGTCTCCTGCAACAGCCACTTTATTCAGAGCATCGGACAATTTAAAGTTTACGAAAGGTCCTATGAGCAAGTTCACATGAATGAGTTCAAGCCCTTTACAATCACAAAGATAAGCTGTAAGCTGCTGGGATCTTTTTCATTTGCTTGTTTTTGAGACAGGGTTCCTCTGTGTAGCCCTGGCTGTCCTGGATCTCACTCTGTAGATCAGGCTGGCCTCGAACTCACTCCACCTTCCTCTGCCTCCAAGGCCTGTGCCACCACCTCTGGCTTGGGAAACATTTTTCTTTTTTTCTCCCCTTGAGACAGGGTTTCTCTGTGTAGCTTTGGAGCCTGTCCTGGAACTCACTCTGTAGACCAGGCTGGCCTCCAACTCAGAGAGCTCTGCCTGTCTCTGCTGGGGTTTAAGGCATGCGCCACCTCCAGGCTGGGAAAATTTGAATAACAAAAGTGAGTAGCTGTGTAATCTGGAGGAAACCTGCTCCTATTTGTTCCGCCTGAACCGCACAAAAGCACATTCTAAGAACATCCCTTATTTAGAACATTAAGAATGTTCCCCTGCATTTTCTCCCAAGCACTCAGAACTCTCACGCGGAGACGGTGTTTGGAGACAGTGTTTGGACAGCCTCTCACACTCTTTGCTTTGACCCCGCAGTTATCTGCCATGTGGTGGGCATCACGTACCAGCACATCGACCGCTGGCTGCTTGCAGAGATGCTGGGAGATCTGACCGGTGAGGCCTGCTGTTGTTTGTGTCAGCCTGAGAAGGTACAGGTGGTTGGCGTGGGACCTCAGCCAGCCCAGGGCAACCCAGTGCACCATTTCGAGGTCATTATCTGGTCCAGAGAGGGCTAAGGGTTTGGTGTGGGATGCTGCCCTCTGAATCTCTGAGTTCAAGGCCGGCCAGCTCCACACAGTGAAACCCTGTCTCAAAACCTGCTGCCTCACCAGGTGCGGTGTCCACCTGTAGTCCCAGCAATAGGAAGCTGGGGCGTGGGCTGTGGAGTGACCCCTGAATGCCAGCTGTGTCAGACAGTGGTCCTGATGCTGGTCGTGGCAGTGACGCCAGGAGCTCAGACCTTTTCACAGATGGAGCAAGGTGGACAAGATGTCTGCATCTTGTAGTAGTTGGTGCTGCAAAGGGCGGTGAGGCCACTCTAGAGGGACAGCCTTTGCCGGGGCCCCGGTGTCTGGGGGTGGGCATGCTGAGAAGAAAGGATGTGTTGATCCTACGGCAGGAGCCTGCCTGTCACGTGTGCTGGTGGCCTGTGTGCCACGGAACAGAGCAGCATGACCCGGTGAGAAGGCAACTCTCCTTGTGGTCATGGGGGTCTTGGGAGGACTTCTGGTGGCCTTTGCTCTGGAGTGACAGAGAACATAGGAAGGCTCTGGGCAGGGGTCAGCCTTGGTCACAGGGACTTGAAAGGTCCCTCCAACCAAAAAACATTTGCAAAAAGAAGCCTGGGGGCTGGAGAGGCTCCAGCAGTTGAGAACATTCGCTACTCAGTCTTGAAGACAGTTTCAGGATCCCAGCATCCATGGTTGGTGGTTCACAAGCAGCAAGAAATTCAGTGTACTCTCTGGCCCTGGGACACCTGTGTACATTCACACTTGCACTCACACATAAGTAAAATGTTTTTTAAAAGAAATAGAAAGGAATGTTAAGAAACCAAGGGAAGGGGCTGGAGAGGTGGCTCAGAACTAACTGTTCTTCCAGAGGTCCCCAGTTCAGTCCCTAGCACCCACATGGCAGCTCACTCCTGTCTGTAACTCCAGAATCCAACATCCTAACACAGACATACATGCAGGCAAAACACCAATGCACACACATAAATAAATGAATGAATGAATGAGTAAATGCCAGCAACAAAGGAAACTGAGCCTGGGGCACACTCTATAATCCCAGTACTTGGGAAAGAGGCAGGAGGATTAGAGGTTGAAGTCATCCTCAGCCACATGGTTCCAAGCCAGCTTGGGCTACGACAAACCCTGTCTCAAAAATGAAAGCACAGAAACCTATGTGACTAAGATACTAAGAGGCTGGTGGCAGGCCGGCGGTGGTGGCGCACGAGGGCCTTTGACCCCAGCACTCGGGAGGCAGAGGCAGGTGGATCTCTGAGTTCAAGGCCAGCCTGGGCTAAAGAACAAGTTCTAGGACAGGCTCCAAAGCTACACAGAGAAACCCTGTCCCAGAAAACCAAAAAGAAGGGGGAAAAAAGGAGGCTAGTGGCACCCCCTGGTGGCAAAGTGGAGAAGGAGCCCCCAGAAGGCAGGCTTTGCCCTGAAGGCCGGAGTTGCCTAGAGCACTTGGTCAGAGGGGCCTGGCTTGGTGAGCCCTGATGTCCCTGCCTCTGACGGCTCCACCGTGCCCTGTCACCTGCAGACAACCAGCTTAAGGTGTGGATGAGCAAGTACGGCTGGAGCGCCGACGAGTCGGGGCAGATCTTCATCTGCAGCCAGGAAGAGAGCATTAAGCCCAAGAACATCGTGGAGAAGATTGACTTTGACAGTGAGTAGCCTGGGCCGCAGGCTGTGGGGAGACATGGTACCCTCCTCAGAACAGGCTGCTGGCCCAGGGAGAACCAGTGAAGGGCCTGGCAGGGTGTTCCCATCCCCTGCACAAGGCTGCCTGTGCGAGGCTAGTCTTGCTTCTCTGTGCCTCAGTTTCTCGTAGAAAGGCAAGTGACAGTACCAGTTACAACAGAGCCAGGTTCGTTATGTGTGAGTCATTTGGTACTCCCGTAAGAGGGTTGCTCATCCTAACTTGGAAACCAATAGAAATGGCGTGGCGCCTGCCTCCCGGAAGGGGCAGTGTGAAAGGAGATCATCTTGTAGGACAGTCAGCCAAGGGCCAGGTACAGTGAGTGCCATTGACCGCCGTCACCGTCACGCTTTGAGTAAACAGACTTACCAGAGAGAACACAAAGCAGGTGTGGCAGCACGTGTCTTTGGTCTCAGCACTCGGGAAGCAGGAGGCCAGCCTGGGCTACCTAGTAAACTACTGTCTTTAAATAAATAAGTAATAACTAAGATTTTTAAAGTGATACAGGCATTTAGCTAGGTACCCGGCCTCACTCTTCCGTCTGGTGAGCGAATGCCATGAAAGGAGGAAAGGCCTCCCCTGGGTTCCCTCCCTGGTCTCCACCAAGGTGAGCAGCAGCGAGCTGTGTCGTGTCCACACTGGGCACCCTGCCCTGTACAGGCAGTGCTCATCATGGGTGAGGCTCAGAATTCCATAGAAGGTTCTGTCTGCAGTAGAGAGCTATAGGCCAGGCCAGCGTCCAGTGAGTAGCTTGTGAAAGTATTGTTAATACACACAATACTTAGTACCAGACATGTGTTCAAGCACTTTAACTCTGTAATCCTATGGGGTAGGTGCTTTATACAGATGGGGAAACTGAGGTATAGAGCTATTAAGTAACATGTTCAGGACCGCTAAACTACAGCAGCAGACTGCTTTTGTGGTTGTGACCTGACCCTGAAGGACATCATCTCCCTAGGAGGCGGCTCTCCCCCTCTTCCCTTATTTACCCTGTTTTCTCCTTCTCAACAGGTGTGTCCAGCATCATGGCCTCCTCCCAGTAACTGCGTGCGTGCGTTGAATAAAGGCTTGTTCACACCACCCTGCTGTCTCCTGCCTCTGCCCTTCCCTCTTGGGCGTCCCCCATGCCTTTCCCTTCCACTTCCCCCTTTGCCTCGCCCTGTGGCCTTTCCCGCCCCTCCTTCCTGACCCGTGAGTCAGCCCGGCATGAGGTAGGCTGAGGCTGAGAAGGGTGAGCGGCTTGGGGAGTGGCCACCCTGGGCTCATGAGAGAGAGGAGGTTCTGTGTCCTTGACAAGTCACCCTACTTCCGACCATGGTGTCCTCATCCAGAAAGGAGAGTGTGGTACTTCCTCAGCTGGCAGGGGTGGCATCTGGCCAGTGCCAGGCTGGGAGTGGTAGTCTGCCAGTCCCAGCACTTGGGAGGTGCAGGCAGGAAGATCAAGGGTTAAAAGCTACTCTTGGCTACATCAGTCTTTAAAGGCGGGTGGAGGGCTCAGTCCATAAACTTGCTGCTCAAATAAACATGGGGTACGCACCACTGGGGAGCTCAGACAGGAGGTTCCCTGAGGTTTGCTGGCTGCCTGTCTAGCCGGATTGGTGAGCTCTAGGTTAAAGGAGAGACCCTGATTTAATTTTGGGACTACAGCTGTAGTTCAGTTGGATTCAGTCCCCAGCCGTTGGGAGGCTGACCTCACTGTGTAGGTGTGTGCACATCTGCCACACTTGACAGCCTTATGTTCTTTGCCCCTGGTCCTCAGCAGCCCTTTACCTGTTCCTTTCAGTAGTCCAAAACTCCTTGATTCACCAAAGAAACAAACGAATCGGAGTCATTGTTCATGTCAGACTGAAGATCTGTCACCAAGGTTGTTGGCTGGCCTTTGGTGCTGCTCTGGTCGCAAAGGTTACCAGACTGCCTGCCGAGTCAGCATCCTCCCAGCCACCCAGTTCATGTCACACCTAAAACATTCCGGGTATTCTGGCCAAGTGACCTTGAGCAGGTGATTTCAGTGTGCGCAGGGTCAGGGGTGAAGTCAATGGAGATAAAGTGACCCAGTAAATGTTCTGCCCTGGCCACTCCCGTCTCCCCTGGGGCCCCATCTGTCAGCAGTGAGTGGATTGATTGTCTGTTCACCTTCCCTGTCGCCAGCACTCACCCAACATTCCTAGGAGGGTCCGGTCCTGGTGAACCTGGGTGCGGCCACACACCCTTTGCTCTGGTCTCCAGACCTACTTGAGTAAGTACCAGGAACTGGATCCTCCTAACCCCGGGGACGGAACAAATGAATGACTGCTGTTCAAAAGTCAGCTCTGAGATGCTAAAGGAGGGAGGGAGGGAGGCCTGGTAGGCTGCCCCACCCGCCAGCCATCTTGTACACGTCAAGGAGACATCTCTGGGTGGGGATGACAAGCAGGCCTCCACTTGGTGGACATGCTTTTGTGTAGGATGTAACTGGCCGTAGCTGTTGAGCGGGAGGAGACATGACCTTTTGTCCCTGACAGCCACATCTTAGCCTGCTGTTAGTCTGGCTCTGACTGAAGACTGAGTTCAAACTCAGTTGTGGGTGTAAAGTTCACTTGTGTGCTTTGGTTTAATGGCCGGAGAGTCTTGAAGCTGTTTCTGTACACCTATGACATTCCACTGTCTGCTCCCACCCTGGGAGACCATCCTCTCAGTAGATTTACGGTGTTAACAAGGAATACAGGGTCAGCCATGGTTTCCTGGCATTCTGGAGGCTGAGGCAGGAGGACTGCTTGGAATTCAAGATCAGCCGGGGATGCAGAGGGCGGTCTTGGATTGTGGAATGCTGACTATTAGGCATAACAGCCATTGCTGTCTTCAAATCTAGAGTCGTTTTGTGCTGGCGGTGGTGGCGTACATCTTTAATCCCAGCACTCTGGAGGCAGAGGCAGGTGGATCTCTGTTCCAGGCCAGCTGCAGTACATGGTAAGATTCTGTCTCAAAGGGCAAATGTATTGAAGAGAGATCACAGTGATTAAGGGCGCTTGCTGCTCTTGTAGAGAACCTGGGTCCAGTTCTTAGAAGCCATGTGGTAGCTCACAGTACTTGATAACTAGTTCCAGAGCATCCTGCTCCCTTCTGTCCTCTGAGGGCACCCGGGCATGTACATGTATGTAGGCAAACACAATAAGTCGATCCAAAGAACCAGCACCGGTACTTAAGGAGACCCTCAGCAGACTTGGCTCTTAATGGCCCCTCCTGTAAGTGGGGGAGGGTGCTTGAGTGCACCTAATCCCCCCCACCCCCCACTTATCACTCAGGGACCATGAGTGTCTGTTAGGAATTGCTAAAGGGACCATCATTCCATTCAAACCTCATTACCTAGGTTGCTGCCTCTGCTTCTGAGTCGGTGGGCTGGGAATCTCAGTGCACACGGTAAGTGGGCAGAGAGGGCTGCTGGCCAATTGCACCGACTGCAAGAGTCCTGGGCTATGCAGGGGATGCTGCACACATTTGTAATTCTACCTTGAATTCACGAGTTCAAGGCCATCCTCAGATAAATAGGGAGTTTGTGCCAGAATGAGCTATTTGAGACCCTGCCTTAAAAAACAAACAAAACTAGCCATTTCCCTGGGGT